AAAAATAGCAAAACAAAACAAAAAAACAACTAAGTATGTGGCTTTATGTCGCGTCATCACCATCAGCGTACTCGTCATCGTACCAAGAATCAGAGGTGAGCCTAACTGCATCATCATCAACATTATCCCCGCTAGGCGTACCAGAGGCATAACCACAAGCTTCGCGGGCCGCACGTGCTTTAACACGGACACCCTCGAGTTCCGCTTCATAAACTTTCCCATTGGCCTTCAGGGACTTGTACACATCAAGCTGAGCCTTGGCATGAACTCACATCTCATACAATTCCCGCAGCACAACGGGGTCGGTAGGAGTATGAGATGTAGACGGTTGTGACTACCATCGCACTTCCTCAGCCTTCAAAGCAACAACCTGCTCGTTCAATCCGCACAACTCCGCCTCCAGATCTTGGATCCGCTCTTCTTACCTCGCTACCTTGAGCGCCGATGTCTCCACCTTATTATCCCCCTCGGACCTACAAATACGGAGGGCATCATCTAAGGTCGTTGCTTCAGACATAGTGACCATTATGCCTTTCTTGGGATGAGTCAATTCCTCGACCTTAATGCTCAACTCGCCCCTATCGATAGCCTCCGCTTCCCTCCTCCCAAGCTCAGCAGTTAAGGAGGCCACCCGCGCTTGAAGGTCGGCATTTCGAGCCATCACCCCCTTGCTCACCTTGATCTCATCTTCCTTAGCCTTAAGAGCCGCCTCAAGCTCGATGCACCGACCGATGGCTTTCATTAGCTCATCGTCCCGCTCCTTTAGCTCCTCAACTTTTCTCATCAACTCCTCCTCCTTCTGTTTAAGCCCGTCACAAAATAGCTGAAACTCACTATCTTGGTTAAAGACGTCGGCCAGTGTTCGATGCTCGGTACGGTACTCTTTGTACTTAGAGGTCACCCTTAAAAATGGCCATCCTCCGCTCCTCCCGCCGGTCACGCTCGATCTCCATGATGAGAGTCTGACATGCAACAAAAAGTCAAAATAAGCAGATTACGCATGCGAAACAAATCCTAACATTAAAAAGTACTTACTCACAAAGCCATGCTAGAAATACTTTACAACTCTTCATTGCTCATCGCCTATAGCACCGTGCTCTCAGAAGCCGCGCACAAGGGAGCAAAAGATAGAACCGCTCGTTCAGAATTATCCAAAAGGTCATAACCCACGGGAATGATTACGTGCTGGTTAGGACCCTCCATCCTCACCTCCATGTGAGTATTCCTCTCCAAGAATGCACGTATCTCTTCAGGATCGATATCCGAGCTAGAGCCATCATCCCCTGCAAGTACTGCCCTATTCCTCTCTGCTGCCAATTACGTGCCACCTTTTGCGGTCTGTACAAGCTCCTCATCATCATTCACCCCTTCGGCCCCAGAGGACCTCCCCTCCGCAACAGTATCTGTCGAAAACATGGCCCCTACATCTGGTGTACGTGCAAAAGCCACTTCCGGAATAGTGAGTTTCTCCGGTTCAATATCATTAATGACAGCCTTCCCGAGTTCCATCCTTCGCCTTTTCCTCGATGTCGAATCCTCTCCATTGGAAGACTCGTCTACAAGATGATAGACAGGCTGGGAAGAGATCTCATCCCACATAACAGCCTGAGGGGCGAAATCCCTCATCGACGGAGTTTGAGCACGACCTCTACGAACGGATTCGGCCAAAGTAAACTGCATCCCAGCCGATGCGATAGCCTGGCGAAACACCGGCACTGGAGCCTTCTTCTTGGAAACTCGTCGACCTAGCACCAAAAGGAGATCTCGTCAACGAATAACGGTATGCAACGGAAGGATAAATCAAAATAATACTTACTAGATAGGACCTTGGGCCCGAAACACTTGTAGAAAGCCGCCCAGTCGCGAATCCCCACCATGTGAGGCAACATATGAGTCACCCAATCTTCAATATCAAAGACAGGAGAGGGTGTACGCCTTTCAGCTAAAGAACAAAGAAGCCACAAGTGAGCTAAAAATGAAAGGACGACAGAAGACAACAAGCGCATAATAGAAACACTTACGATTATGATTCCACTGCTCAGGAAACCCAGTCGGCTCCGTCACCAAGTGCTCGATCTTGATAAAGAAATATTTGTGCTAGAATTTCCGATTAATTCTATCATCCATTCCGACCACCAACCCTCTGGTCCCACGATGCTGCAGGTGTATCATGGTACCTTTATAAAAATTAGGCGTAAATAAGATCAGCAAGTGACGAAAATTAACCTCACAACCAGCAACTCCGCGTACTTCCTCAGCATCAAGAAAGCTTTATACAAGTAAGGAGAGAGTTGCGCCGGGCAGACGCTGTAAAACTGGCAAAATTCCTCCGTTAGAAGAAGAAGAGAAAGAGTATAATCAACTAAGAACGGGTAGACATAGAAGGCGCAATACCCGGGTCGATGGACCTCCACGATGTCGCCACCGCCTAGAATTATCTCGACATAGGGAGGGATGCGGTACTTGGACCGAAGCTCGACTATATGAGACGGTCTAGTATCGGAGAGCACATGAGCGAGGGCAGGAGCAGGCTTTTTTGGGAAATCGTTTCTAGCTAAAGGATTTCTAGGAACTACCTCACTGCGGTAGGAAATCTATCATATTCTTCAGCTACAAATTCCTCACCGCCGAGAGGAGGAGCCACCAATAACGGTTTGGCATCAGAAACGTCGTCATGAATATGAGAGGATTGTGACATATTTGTACAGTAAAGCATACGCTACCAAGCCCAAAGAAGAAGATAACGGTTGGGTAAGAAGGAAGAAATGAAATTTGGGTAGCAGAATTTTAGTACAGAGATTTGGGAAGAAGATCGAAGAAGAACAGTGTTCATGCAAAGTATAGGATGGTGGAAACTTCCAAAAAATTAAGCCTCCATCTATTTATAAGGTGGCTGACACCAAAATCGAAGCAGCAAACCGACATTGGCACCAAAATCGAAATGACAGAAGCATAGGCGCTGCCTCGAGAAGACGCGTAATAATGACGCGCGTGACTGTGATGTCACCCCATGCCAGTCACACCAACCGCAACCTTGCTGGTTACGCCTCCTCTCCTTGACCCCAGTTGCTTCAACCTAATCTTTACGACCAAATTTCTCCTTAAACAAATGATGATCAAGTCTGCTTCTCGAGGGCGTGCAAGATCATGACCCCAACAAGAGGAGGGACTAATTGTATTGGTCAAAATTCGGCAACTCGGTAACTGAAGATAAGTCGTGCCAAGAACGGGGTCGACTATAACGAAGGGGTCGCTCTCATAAGGGCCATTGCCGAGGACGAGTAACCGGAGTTGCAATTGTAATGGTAGGACTGGCTTAGAAAAAGGCACTGGGAATATTCCCTTGGATATTCCTTATATTGTACTTTTTAGGGTTTATTGGGAATATCTCTTATAAGTAGTAAGAGACAGAGCAAAAAGGATCTGGACTTTTCGATAAGAACACATTGTAAAGGCTGACTAAAGAGAATATACAAAAGTTGTCTTGTTCATTGATTGCATTATTCAAGCACACGTTGTTTAATCTTTAATCACAAGATCCAACGATTTCATATCCACCTTTACTTCTCATCCTTCCACGTTACCGACAGGAGGAAGAAACATCTCAATCTTACAATTATTGGATGGTAGATCCGTCTTCTTCTACTACTTATTTATCCCAAGTTGGTTATTCCCAGGAAACCACTTCAAAAGAGAGATGAATATTCAAATGGTCACCTCTGAAATTTTGGTTCTACCTAAAAATATATCGTCATCTAATCTTGCTTGCATGAGTTAGTTGTCATTTGTCCAAATGGTAGGTCATTACTTAATAATCAAGATAAGAGTCAGTAATGGATAGTTGTAGGTCCACGTACAATACGTATAAACATTTTAAATGATTTTGTGATTATATATTTGGTGAGTCAAAAGTGGTGAGTGTGAATGTGTTGGATAAATTAATCTACAATTAAACTTGCGGTTGCGTCTAACTATGAAAATGTGTTGCATATTGCAAATTCATTTTATTTTTTTTTGTTATGCTTCAACTTGATTGTTTTAAGCGATTATATTAACATCGTTTCATGTCGATTATTGGGAAATACAAAAATATTGTGTAAGAGGTGCATATTTTTAGATTAATTGCCGGTACACATCATTTAGACCAAATCCTAGTTCTAACTTTCTGCTGAATGACAAGCTAGCAATTATATTTCTTCCAGTTGAATTTCTGTTTAGTTCAATTTATTGTCCAAATTGATGGAGTTGTTTTACTACCTTTGCAATCAGTACAAAATGATCACCTATTAGTCTATACTACAGACAACAAAAAAATAAAATGAGCTTTAGCCTGAACCCCAGTTTCGTCCGAACCCATACTTACGTCTCTAGCTCCGCCTCTGACCGTCTGAGATTGTCTCATTTAAACAGTGGCTAAGTAAGAGGAACTGTGCTAGTCTGCTGCATCTCGGAAACAAACTCGTTGCAAAAATGACGATCATCGCACCAAATCTTGAATATAATGGCACCTTCATGTCAATGCAGATACATTCATGATTTAAAGTTAATGAACACAAGAATAATACTAAACCCGTTACTTCTTTGTAACAAATAGTTTTAGAGTAAATATATATATATATATATTTAAAAGGAATATATACACACATCACTCGATTAACGAATACATAGATAGATCAATGATCAACATAACGACAAATATTTTTTCCAAAACCATGCATGCCTGTCGGTCTAAAACAATCCAATCTCCACACGAGACTACATTTCACATTCTTGTCTATGGTTTACAAGGCTCCAATTGTGACCAAAAAAAATAATCAGAGCCAAACTCCCAAACAGCCAAACTCATATTTACCTCTATATATATTATATAATTATCTGCAAAATATGCCCTAATACTATGTACTAATAAGATGTATAAAGATGCATAACAAATGAATAAAGAACAGAAGAAGCCACCCCTACATATGGGCCTGGAAAGGATAGCTTATTTGGGCCTTCAATCAGCCCAACTTTTGCTTCTCTCGCAATGAATTCATCTTCTCCAACTGCCACTCATCTCGGAGCCTAGCAATGAAAGTATCAGCTTTCATATTCACATCTGGGCTCGGGCAAAAAACCGCCGTCCCTGTTGAATTTCCGCTGCCCATTGCCTCCGACGATGATTTGGACGATAAAACGTCGACGTCTACCTCTATGTCTTCTAGTTCAGGCGAGCTGCAACGGGAGCTGTGTGCGCTCCGTATCCGAACAAAATCGCCGGCTGGAATGAACTTCACCTTCGGCATTTTGAAAGGCGGTGGAGGAGGTATCAACGGTGATTGCGAACCACTGTTAAAGTTTTCGTCGTAGTAGCTGGCTGCTGTTTTTGTTGGCAACGGAGGTTTGCTAGCAGCGGCTAAACGTCGATGTGAAGGTTCTGGTAATTCAGCGGCAGAGCGTGTAAAAGTCTTCTGCCTTGATGACATGCGTGTTGTTTGAAGCGGAGGTGGAGGAGGAGGTGGCGTTGGAGACGACCTTGTAGATTTGAATGCCCTGCTTTTGTTTCCGTTTTTGAACAAATTGTTGAGAAATGAAGGTGGAGGTGGTGGCGGAGGAGGCGGTGGCAGAAGAGTTGACAACGGTGGTTGAAATCGTTTACTCTTAGTGCCTGTTTTGAACAAATTGTTGAAAATTGAATTTGGAGGTGGCGGTGGTGGAGGTGGTGGTGTGGTGGAAGGAACAGAATGTACACGTTTGCTTTTACTATTCTTTTTGAATAGATTCTGGAAAACCTTAGCTGGAGGAGGAGGAGGTGGTGGCGGCGGAGGTGGAGGTGGCGCTAGTGGTGGCATGACTGACTCTGTCGATGATGAAAACTCAGAGCCGCTCTCTTGAATATTTCTCCTCTTTGTTCTCTTCTTTCCCTTTCCTTGATTATACAAGGAGGCTATAGATGATGCTATTTCCTTTACTGCACCGCTCTTTTTCCGTTGAAGTTTTTGCTCCGGCGGTGATATCCTCATTGGTGGTGCTGGTGGCGGTGGTGGAGGCGGAGGGGGCTGTGCTTGATTTTCAACCTTGTCCTTGTGCGGAACACTATGAAACGATCTTCGCCGTTTTAAATTTGCCTGCTGCCGCGCGTGTGATGTAATCGGAGGTGGAGAAGAACGAGTATCAACTGTATCAACAGGAATTACTTTAACATGTGACTCCTCTTGCTGCTTCTCTATCCGCCGTGCAGGGCGAAGATCATTTTGTACATGGAGACGATCATATTCCCCCGCCGTCGAACGGTGAAAATTCACTCCAAAATCATCCATAAACCGGAACTGGTTATCACCGGTTTCCCATTCGGGCACTTGTCTCAAATCAGGATACGAGCTACTACTCCTCCGTAACCGGTTAACACCAGTACTTTCCGGTAACCCAACATAAGCTTTTCGATCACTGTACTCATACCATTGACCCCTCGAAGAAACATTTGAGATATTTCTGTTTTGTTGTTCAACGGAGACACTGCCGTCAGGAGCTGAAACGTCATCATTTTTACGGGCGAAAACCCCACAAATAATGGCAAATATTACAATCAAGATGATAAACGAGTCCCAGCTTTTTTTCACTGAATTTGGTCGAAGAAGTTGTGAAGTGTGCGAAAGAAAAGGAGGAATCAAAAAGAATAAGATAAGCAGTGTTATGATCGGTAAAAGCAGAATGAGCATCACGGGGTTGATGATTGGAGACGGTGGTCCACGGCGGCGTTGATGGAGGAGAACGGTGGAGGAGGGCTGGGACCAGAAAGGTGGAGGGTCTCCATCTTGTTCCATATTGGAGTGTTATTATGAGTTTTATGGTTTCGCTTGAAGGCGGAGAAAGACTTTATTAAAAGGCTTCTGAGGACAGGTAAATGGAAAATGTTTAACGAAAGAAACGTATATGCATTATATTTATGCACATTTTATTATGTATTGATGTTCTTGGGGCTTACGGTTGAATATTAGATAGGATATTCCATCTTTAAAATAGTCCCCGTGGGGAAGCGTTCCCTATTAAGGATTTTTTATATTCAAGACTCGAACTCGAAATCTCTGGTTAAGGGAAGAATAGTTTATCTACTGCATCATCCTTCGGTGCTTAGTCTTCATCTTCACTAGCTCGGCTTTGGATAATTTCAATACGTAGAATATAGTACGTTCCAATATGAATACTTGGGAGTAACATTTACTCACATTATTTACCCAATAAAGATAATGGCACATGTTTACACACAGATTTTACCAGGAATATTTTCCCTGTTACTGTTTAGTTGTAATGAAAACTTTTTTTAATTTTATCTTCTTCTTTTTTTTTTTTTGAAAAAATTGTTGAAAGTGAAGTGATCTTGCAGATGGTGAGAAGGTAAAGAATGGCAGATCTGTGGACTTGAGCAATATAAAGTTAAACTATGATTAGATTGTAATTATGTTTAATCCTTCATTGCAGATAGAGACGTGGAATAATGGATGGAGCTAGGAGGGAGTGGGGTTCCTTGGAAAATTATATATAAAGTATATATTACTATTATATATTGAATTCTCTTTGCTTCTTCACATTGTTTACTTCTTTTACCTTTTGAACTTGGTAAAATTTTTATCTCCCTCGCTACATGGAATGATATATCTCGTTGTAACTTATGTTTCTATTTTTCTTTTTAATCTTTGCTAAAATCTTAAGAATTATGAACTCCAACAAATCTTGCTACGTGTACTAGAATACCTGAAATATTGTAAAGCCATTAGTCCTTTTACGTTTTATATTGCTATCATGGACAATATTGTTTTACCAAAAAGTATTAAATTTTTTTGTGAACTAATTAAAATAGGAAATAGATGGTGAATTCTAGTTAGATATAATAACCACTAGATCTAATATTTAGGTGTATTGATGATGCAAATATTGTATACCTACAAATATTAAATGATTGTTAATAAATGTAGTAGCAAATCATGCAATAAATGTTGATAATGGCAATGAATGTAATAAGAAGGAATTTATCACCTAAATGTTAGACGACTTGGATGATTCTCCTTCCTAACAACAACGTGAGTAATAGAGAATAAAGATAGATAAGGAATCTTTGGATCTTGTTAATAAAAAGTGTATATCCAACAATGTGATTAGGGGACATGACAAGCTTTTGTATATTCTTTTCAACCCTTTACAATGTGCTCATATCAGAAAAAAATGAAGATCCCCTTTTTATTCTTTATCTCTTCCTATTTATAAGGGATATTCCTAAGAAATCCTAAAAAGTACAACAGAAAGAATATTCAATGGAATATTCCTTTTGTCTATTCTTAAACTTATTCTACAGTTGCCTTCATGCTCCCTTTATTTGACCTCGGCACTAATCCCGCTTAAAACGACTCCTCGCCATTGTGTCGTGGTCGGCTCTATCCTCGACCATATTTATTTGCAGTTATCAAGTCGTCCAAATTTTGACCAATACAAATATAAGTTCACATAGTGTTAGTATTTTAGCATTTTATTATTAAAATAAAATATGTTATAACTCCCACTACTCCATGATGTAGAAAATGGCTATAACTCCCACTACTCCATGATGTAGAAAATGGCTATAGCTCTCATAACTCTCACTACTCCATGATGAGAAAATGGTTATAACTCTTTTGTAACTCTTCTCCCGTGTTCTACCACTAATTACACATGAATTTATCCATTATCCCATGTTCTCCATGATTTCATAACTTACTACCCCACTTTCTTCTAATTTAATTCAAGGAAGAATTTCTACACCTATAAATAGGAGTCTTTTTCCCGTAATGTGGTATGTGAAAAATAATTGAGAGTATTTCAATAAAGTGAGGTTAAGTTGTGAAAAAGAAGAAGAGAGTTTTTACTTTTGTTGAAGGAAGGTGTTCATCTTGGTGGAGCTTTGGATTCAACAACTTTTTCAGAGTTTGTTCGAGTCATACGATGTGATCTGGCTATTGTATCCTAGGGAGACAAGTCAAGAAGATTACTACTGGACCAGTGAAGACTTTGCTGCAGTGGGCTTGAATCTCCTTAAAAAGAGCAAGATATTCGTGCCTCATCCTAAAGATATTTTATTTCTTCATTTTAGTTTCAACTGTAATTGTACTTTCACCAATAATTTGAAGGAGATTCAAATGGCTATAGTTGAAAAATCCGCGGATATCAAGGTGGGAGCTCAACAAGCCATTCCGTTTCAATGGTACTCATTTCAAGAGATGGAAGGGTAAAGTACTTTTTTATTTGAGTCTTCTCAATGTTTCTTACGTTTTAACTGAGAAGAATGCAAGCAAAGTAGACAACTCATCCATGAATGATGATGAGCTAATTGCCCTCCAAGAAAAAATTAAAAAATATAACGATGATTCATACAAGTGTCGGTACATCTTCTTAATTGTCTATCTGATAATTTTTATGATTATTACGATAGAACTTACTCTACTGCAAAGAAAATTTAGAAAGCATTGCAGAGTCAGTATGATACCGAGGAGGCAGGTGCGAAAAAATATGCTGCTAGCAGATTTTTTTGTTTTCAAATGGTGGACAATAAATCTGTAGTAGACCAATCTCAAGACTTCATAATGATCGTTGGAGAGCTCAGGTCCGAGGATATTAAAATTGGAGACAACCTTATTATTTGTAGCATAATAGATAAACTACCACCTTCTTGGAAGGAATTTCAAAAAACTATGCGCCACAAACAAAAGAAAACTTCACTTGAGACGTTGATAATGCGGATTCGCATGGAAGAAGAGACAAGAGGCCAAGATGCACTTATGCAATCGGAAGAGAGCACTCTACAACCTGTCACTACAAAGGTAAATTTAATTACTTCAAATAATATTACTACTGAAACTCACAAAAATACTTTTTTGAAGCCGAAGAAGAAGAATTTTAAGAAAAGTTATGGTAGACCTACCAAGAAAAATAATGGTGCAAACAACCATGCACAGAATCAACAAGTTCAAATTGCGAAATCATGCTTTGTCTGTGACAATAGTGGGCATATTGCTCGATTTTATAAATTTTGGAAATATGATCCTACACCACAAGCAAACGTTACCGAAGAGCCACTTGTGGCGGTGATAACAGACATTAACATGGTAGAAAATGTTGATGGATGGTGGGCTGATTCTGGAGCAAACCATCATATTTTCTATGATAGAGATTGATTTAAAGTGTATACTCCATTTGAGGAGCCTAAAACAATCATGCTTGGTGATTTTCACACAACCCAGGTGCTTGGAAAGGGAGAGGTTGAGTTGAAGTTTACTTCAGGAAGAGTATTAACATTGAAAGACCTACTTTATACTCCTTCAATGAGAAAAAATTTGATGTCTAATTTTCTTCTTAACAAGGCAAACTTCAAATAAATTATTGAAAGTGATCAATATGTAATAGTAAAAAAGGATATTTTTGTGGGTAAGGATTATGCATGTGATGGGATGTTCAAGTTGAATGTTGAGATGAATAAAACTTCTTCTAGTTCTGTTTATATGCTTTCTTCTACTAATTTTTAGCATGCTCGTTTGTGTCATATTAATAATCGTTATGTGGGAATCATGAGTAGTTTAGGATTAATCCCAATAATTAAAAAGAATTTTGAAAAATGTGAGCTTTGTAGTAAAGCTAAAATAACTAAAATGCCTCATTTTCAAGTTGAAAGAAGAACTGAATTGTTAGAATTAGTTCACACTGATATTTGTGAACTTGGCGGAATTTTAACTCATAGAGGAAATAGATATTTTATCACTTTTATTGATGATTTCTCTAAGTACACAGATGTTTACTTGATGAAAAATAAAAGTGATGCGTTTGAAAATTTTAAAAATTATCTCCATGAGGTTAAAAATCAATTCGGTTGAAAAATAAAAAGAGTTAGAAGTGATAGAGGCCATGAATATGAGTCTAATGATTTTAATTCTTTTGCTAGATCATTGGGAATAATTCATGAAACTACTCCACCTTATTCTCCTGCATCCAATGGTGTGGCTGAAAGAAAAAATAGAACTTTGGAAGAGTTAACTAATGTCATGCTTATTGAGTCAAATGCACCTTTAAATTTATGGGGTGGAGCTATTTTGACTGCATGTTATGTGTTGAATAGGGTGCCTCATAAGAAAACAAAATTGACACCATTTGAGTTGTATAAATATCATAAGCCAAATTTGGGTTATTTGAGAGTTTGGGGTTGTTTAGCCTATGTTAGGCTAACGGATCCTAAAGTTATGAAGTTGGATAAAAAGTTATTACTTGTGCTTTTCTTGGTTATGCTTCTAATAGTACAGCCTATACATTTTTAAATCTTCAAGAGAATATATTTATAGAATCAGGTGATGCTATTTTTCATAAATTTCCATTTGAGTCTAAAAATAGTGGGGGTCAAAGAGATAAATATAATTTTTTGTCTATGCCTAGTTCTTCTATTTTTATTTTACAAAATAAAGAAAATAATGTTTTTGAGTTAAGAAGAAGTAAAAGGGCTAGAATAGAAAAAGATTTTGGTCCTGATTTTTATGTTTTAATATTGAAAATGACCCTCTCACTTTATAAGAAGCTTTATTGTCACCTGATGCTATTTTTTGGAAAGAGGCTGTAAATGATGAAATGGAGTCACTAATTTCTAATAAAACTTGGAAGTTGGTTGATTTATCACCAAGTTGTAAAATAATTGGGTGCAAATGGGTCTTAAGAAAAAAAATAAAAACCAGATGGATTTGTTGATAAGTATAAAGCTAGGTTAGTTGCTAAAGGTTTTAAGCAACTAGAAGGCCTAGAATTTTTTGATTCTTCG